ATATACTATAAACCACTGAATTGTACACCTTAAAAAGGGTTAATTCTATGGTATGTGAATTATATCCCAATTTTTTAGAGAAAGTACATGTGCTACTTCACAGGGCTAAAACAAACAAGTGTCATTTTTCAATAAGGATCATTTGTATTAGTTGGGAGGGTTTTTTTGTTGTTTGCTTTTTGGTTACAATTAATAGAATCTTTTACTGATTCACATGACCAAACCACAGAATGCCACAGACCCTGGAATTGGAGATTTCAAGCAGCCACATTGTCTACACCTCTCTTCTTGCCCTTCTTTTTTTTTTTTTTAATATCATCTTCATTGGTTCAGACAGAGGAATAGGTATTTGTGGCTCCCAGACAGGAAACTTTTAGTTTGTCACCAGAACGGTCAGAGTCCTTGGTTCTCTGGCCTGCAATTCAAAACTTCTGCAGAATTGCTTCAGTTGGGCTGCTTTGGATAAGATATGCAACCTTAGACATGTCACAATAGCCTTCTGGAAGGAAGTTGGCAGACCCCATTAGAATAACATGGACAGAAGTGAACTTTCTGTAAGAGGTGGACAGAATGATAGTTTCAGTAGACTCAGTAGACCAATGACCCAGACTTCTCAATTGTTGGAGTCAAAAGGGATGTCAGACATCTCGAGAGCTTTAGTCTACCTTCCTAATTTCATATAGGAGGGAGTTAAGTGAACTAGTTAGTAGAACCAGGGCTAAATCCCTGATCTTTTAACTGCCAACCTCATGAACCAGATTGGTGATTCTCAAAGCCACACCACAGCATAAATTCGGGAACTTGTTAAAAATACCTACTGCAAAGCTCTCATTTGGAACCTAAATAAGAATTTGGATGGACTTGGGAATGTGAATCTGGATTCAATTACAAACACCACAAGTGATTCTGATGTTTGGGATCTACCACTTAGAAAAAAAAAATTACTGATACTTAGGTCACCACCTTAAGATGCTCATGCATTTATCTGAGCTATGGGGATATCTCATGTGCACTGAAGATTGAGAACTACTAACTTTAATTAATGCACATTACAATTACTGGGGAAGCTTTACTAATACTCCAAATGCCTGGGCCCAACTCTTAGAGATTCTAGTTTAATTTTTCTGGGTCTCAGGGCACTGATATTTTTCAGAATCTCACCAGGTAATGACGAGGTTGATCAAGATTGAGAACCACCAACTCAAATCTTACTACCCTCCTTACACAGGAGTTGTGAATGAGATATGGGTACGGAAAGTTATTGTCAATTCATTGTAAAGTGTGGTGATGACAATGATGGAGATATTTGACTGCTTATTATGTACCATGTATTCTGCTAAGCATTTTATGAGCATAATCTCACTTAATCTTCAACATTAGCCAGCTAGTGTTATTTTCCCTTTCCCTTGATTATAACATATCATCAGTTGAAGACTCTCTTTTTAGTGAGTTATTAGAGAGTGTCTGTTGTTAGTTAGAAAGGAAATATGATTTCATAAGTCCTCCAGTGACAAAGGTTCACTTTACTTAGAATAATATAAATGTATAGTTAATTTAAGATGAAATACAAATAAACGTGTTGTGTCATCAAATGCAAATAACTCATTTGAAGTGATATGAAATGAATAGCTATTGTACCTTCTATGGAACCTGCTAAATTTTTCCTACATTCACAAATTATAGTTATGTTTCATACTGGGACATGCATACTGGACCTGGCAAATTTATTTAGACACATCCTATTTGAGGAATAATAAAATGTGGAGGAAAAATGTGTATCAGAATCACAGAAACATGAAATTATCCCTATTTTCAGATGAGGTTTTAAACAATGAAGTGACTAACCCAAAGTGACATGGTTCATTAAATGGCAAAACCAGAAATACAACCCAGCAGCCCTGATGCTAGAGTTCTCAGAAGCTCCTCTACTAACAAACTTCCCATTACAAGAACAAAGTACTTTGTCAGAACAAAATTTTGTCAGCTCTGCCTATAGCCAGCAATTGGAATTAGGAGCCCCCCGGGGCTTTTAACCTAACTAATCCCTAGTGTAGAGTTGGTGTGTCTTTCAATGCAATGCAGGAACTAATTTTAAAGTATTTTGAATCAGGTGCAATGCCTGGAAATTCAGAGTCAAACATAAAAATGCATTTATCTTTTAAAACAATAATAAAAAAAGTCTAGACAATTAAAAGGAAAACATGTTGAGACTAAGGGAATGGGGATGAAAATGGTCAATAGGATCAGTATTATGCTTTGAACAAGTCGTTGTCAAATTCTTGACATAACCAAATTTATCTCACCTTGTTTGGTTCTTTTTTTTCTTTTAAAATTACTATTCAGTTATGAGAAATTAATGCTGAATATTTAACACTCAGCTCTGAGCTCCTATAATAATACACCTGTGTTGGGCTACTCAGTGATCAATACTGGCACTGATGGGACACTTTTTAAATATATATATATATATATATTTTATTGATTATGCTATTAGAGTTGTACAAATTTTTCCCTCTTTGCCACCCTCCACCAGGTACCCCCATTCCCTCCAGCAATCCCCCCCTTAGTTCATGTCCATGGGTCATGCATTTAAGTTCTTTGGCTTCTCTGTTTCCTATACTGCTCTTAACATCCCCCTGTCTATTCTGTACTACCAATTTGTACTTCTTAATCCCTGTACCTTCCTCCTATTCTCTCCCTTCCCCCTCCCAACTGATAACCCACCAAATGATTTCCATATCTATGATTCTGTTCCTGTTCTGCTTGTTCGCTTAATTTATTTTTTTAGACTCAATTGTTGATAGTTGTGAATTTATTGCCATTTTAATGTTCATAGTTTTGGTCTTCTTTTTCTTAAATAATTCCCTTTAGCATTCCATATAATAATAGCATGGTGATGATGAACTCCTTTTGTTTTACCTTATCTTGGAAACACTTTATCTGCCCTTCAATTCTAAATGATAGCTTTGCTGGATAGAGTAATCCAGATTACAGGTCCTTGTCCTTCATCACTTTGAATACTTCTTGCCAGTCCCTGCTAGCCTGCAAAGTTTCTTTTGAGAAATTGGCTGAAGATCTTACGGGAACTCCTTTGTAGGTAACTCTCTGCTTTTATCTTGCTGCTTTTAAGATTCTATCTTTAACCTTTGGCATTTTAATTATGATATGTCTTGGTGTGGTCCTGTTTGGGTCCATCTTGTTTGGGACTCTCTGTGCTCCCTGGACTTGTATGTCTATTTCCTTCACCAAATTAGGGAATTTTTCTTCTATTATTTTTTCAAATAAGTTTTCAATTTCTTGCTCTTCCTCTTCTTCTCCTGGCACCGCTATGATTTGGATGCTGTTATGTTTGAAGATATACCAGAGGCTCCCTAGCCTATCCTCATTTTTTTTTCTTTTTTTAAAAAATTTTATTTTAATTTATTTTTTCAAATACATTTGTCTCTGCCTACCCCCCACCACTTTCCCTTGCCCCCTCCCCCCTTCCCTCCCTCAGCTCTTCCCCTTTGGTTTTGTCCATGAGTCCTTGCTATATGTTTCTTGACTTTCCCCTTCCCTTCCTTTTCCCCGCCCCCCCTCCTTCCCTATCCTCATTTTTTTAAATTATGTTTCTTCTTGCTGTTCTCATTGAATGCTTTATTCTTCCTTATGTTTCAAATTGTTTATGTGATTCTCAGTTTCATCCTTTCCTCTGTTGGTTCCCTGTAGATTTTTCTTTATTTCACTTAATGTAACCTTCATTTCTCCCTGGGTCTTTTTTATGCTGTTGAAGTACCCATTGAGTTCCTGGAGCATCCTAATAACCAGTGTTTTAAACTCTGCATCTGATAGGTCACTTATCTCCATTTCATTTGGTCCTTTTTCTTTAGTTTTGTTCTGTTCTTTCATTTCTGCCATCTTTTTTGTCTCCTCATTTTGGCAGCCTCCCTGTGTTTTTTTTGTTTGTTTGTTTATTTGGTAGAACATCTTTGACTCCCTGTCTTGGCATCGTGGCCTATTTTAGGAAAGCACACCTGTAAGTTGTATGAGGTGGAACTTTAGGTAATCACCAGGGCAAGGCAACCACTGTCACTGCTCTGTGGCTCTGTGTGGGGGAGGGCTCAGAGAGGGGACAATGCTGCTGCTTGGCCTCTGGAGTTTTTCCCAGGGGTAAGCTGTCCCCTGGCACTCATCCTGTTGCCAGTCACTTCAGTTTCTAACCATATGCCACTGGCATCCTTCCAGCTGTTGCCCTGGCGCTGAATCCCAGAGGGAGTGAGTCCGTATAAATCCTAAGCCCACTGCAGACTCTTTAAAAGGAGTCTCCTGAGAATCCAGCAGTTTCTTCCACTGTCTCTATACCCACTTTTTTTTTACAGCCAGAAGTTATGGGGTCTTATCTTCCTGGCGCTGGAACCCTGGGCTGGGTGGTCTGGTCTGGGCTAGGATCTCTTGATCCCACGATATCCATTCCGATTTTTATTTCCACACATGGACGTGGGACCGCCTGTTCTGTGACTCCACCTCTCTGCACCTCTCAGCAGCGTCTCCGGCCCTCCTACCCATCTGCATGAATGTGGCTTCTTTAAATCCTTAGTTTTTGGACTTTCATACAGTTTGATTTTCTGACAATTCTGGGTGATATTTGTTTTGTAGTCTAGTTGTAATTTTTTCTGTAGTTGTGAGAGGAGATGAGACATACTCACCTATGCCTCCATCTTGACCAGTTGGAACACTTTTTTTCCCATCTTTTTTAATTCCTCTGATGCATTCTTTTTTTTTAATTTTTATTTTTCAATTATAGTAGACTTTCAATACTATTTTGTATTGGTTTCAGGTGTACAGCATAGTGGTTAGACGATCACATGCTTTACAAAGCACTCCCCATGATATTTCCAGTACCCAGTTGGCACCATACATAGTTATCACAATATTACTGCTATGTTCCCTACGCTGTACTTTACATCCCTGTGACTAGTTTGCAACTACCAATTTTTACTTATTAATCTCTTCACCTCTTTAAAAATATGGAAACCTTCATGAATTTGAGTGTCATCCTTGCACAGGGCCCATGTTGATCTTCTCTGTATCATTTTAATGTAACATACGTGGTACCAAAGCAAGCCCTGGGACACTTTTATCTTGATGTAATACCATTGCAGCCTGATTTCCTACTTTACAGTGTACCTGAAAGAAAGGTGGAACAAATGATGAAAGGCCAAAAATAAGAGGAAAAAAATGAATCATGGGAACCCTTCTTTCATATTTTTTTGTTAACTTGGAATTTCTAGAATATAACCTCCAAGTAGAATAAGGTTCTTTTGTACATGTATAAGTATAAATATTATTATGCTAATATTTCTTCTTTTCCCAGATTTTACTTTATAAAAATAAAGTAGCCCACAAGTCTGGTATTATGTGCCTTTAGAGGCTCTTTGCAATTTTCCCTTTTGCAGCTGTTAAATAGCTTTTCTCTCCAATATTTTTTCCTGCATAATGATTTTTATGGAAGCAAATATAGTAAGCATTTTAAGGTCTTACCAGTGGTGACAATAAAATAATGGAACTTTTAAAAATCCAATCATATACCTGGAAATATAGAAAAACCATGCATTTATTTCTTAGGAAATCACATACTTGTTCTCATGAGGATGGCATTGTGCAAAATGTTTTGGAAACCCTCCTTTTAAATTGTCCTCAGCACAAGATTATGAGGTTTTTCATGAAAATTAGTTAGGTTACCCTGTAGTGCTTCATATTTTTTAAAAAATTAAAAACAGAACCTCAGATGTAGGGTAAAGAACAATGCATTTTATCAGAAAATCTGGATTCAGGTTTGACTTCTGTAACCTACTAGTTTAATAACTCAGCATATCCCTTAACTTTTCTTAACCTCAATTTTCTCCTTTACAATTTGAGAATAAAAGTACCTATATCAGGGGTTGTCCTGAAGACCGTATGAAACAAGGCATTGTTATAGCACCTTGTGAAATGAAATGCACTGTCCAAATATAAGTTATTATTGGCCCAGCTTGATTAGAATTGAATGGGCTTGGTTATTTCCAAAATTCAGATGTAACCACTGAAAGCATAAATATTTCATCATTGAAAAACTATTTAAAAGAACATGGAAGAAGTGATAATACTTCAGGTCAATTTGCTGAACCCCAATGAGAACTCAGCTGAGATCCAGAGCAATATAGTTTGTAGTAACATCCTCCTTACTCTCTGGGTCCTTAGCATTCTCATTTCTTCCTAATCGTCTGCACCCACGCCATTGGATGAATGCTGGCTAAATTCAGGGCATTTGTGAAAATAAAATCTGAGCGAATTCTGGCTGGGCTTTTGATACGACCATTGTCCTTTCTCTCACACCTCGCAGCCTGGGCCAACCAGCAATCCTCATTTTAAATGACTGACTAGAGCTGTTGCTGTCCTTGCCATTTTAAGATAGCCTTGACCTGAGGGGCAGGAGCACAAATTCCACAGTCAAGCACAGGCCATGAGTAGGCTGTTCTGTACAGTGTAAGACTATGAGTGAGAAATTAAGCCTTAGCCCAGCCAAGACACAGTCACTCCCACTGCTAAGCAGATCCCAACCATCCCACCCTTAACCCACTCAGTCACATGAATGAAATATTTAGCCAGGTTACCCCAAGTTCCTTGCTGTAAAACTAATCCTCTGTGGTCTGCTGGAGCAATTACTGAAATCTGTCATTTGCAATACTCCTTTCAAATCTAAAAGCATTCTCTCTTTTCATTTTGCATGTTAATCAAAAAAATAAAATAAACAAACAGCAATCACTTAGGTATTCCAACAATGCTTTACCACATCGAGGCTACAAAATAGAACAGCAGATGTTTTATTGCATTCTGTATCACCTTTTCCCCCGCTTTTTCTTCTTAGTTTTAAAAGTGTGCTTTGCTTATAAGAAAATAATGTAGAAAAAAACTACTTAACATTCTGAGGGAAAAATAAAACCCCTCACTGTGGCTGTACATTTTTGTGCATGGTAACGAGTTGTCCTGGATCATAACCTTATTAATCAAGGTTTTACTGTGAGCACCCTCTCAGGATTCTGCTGTCAGTGCAGGGTTGTGTAATGAGTAGAAGGAAAGTATGAAGTGCCTTAAAAAAAAAAAAGCAAACATAAATCTAATAATATTTTAAATAGTTTACAAGATACAGCTGTTCCAGTGACAGATTAAACATGATGAATACTCTGACCCAAGTTTGATTATTCTTAGAGCCACTACAGATTATCTTTTACACACACACACACAAACACACACACACACATACACACACTCCTCAGCTTTTTTTTTAGGAATTCTTTGAGGTGAAGGAATCCTAATAGGATTCCTCTCTGATTCCTCTCTCAATATTCTATAACCATCAACTTAGAAGCTTAATATTTGGTGTTTAAAGGTAAGTAAAATAGATACTGAGGGAGCAGATCAAATGTTCAGATGTTCTCATCTAGCAGTTATCAGTACCTCAGGCCCATTTTGTAAAGCATACAGTTACATATTTTCTCATTTTCTATTGCTGCTGATAAGCGTTTGCAAAATATACACAATTGCTTATAGCCACTTAGTCCCATCATTTATTAGTTCCTCAAACTCAGACAAAACTGTTGAGGTCTTAGTGTTAATGTTAAACTTGGGAAATATTTAAGCAATGATGAAATTAAACATTTCTTTTTTTTCTCCTAAAGGAGACTTAATAGTCTTTCCCAGTGAGTATTTTTTAAATACATATTTTTAGTTTTAAAAATAATTCTGTTTCACTTTTGAAAATATAAAATGGAGATTTGAAAATGAAGAAAAAAGTCAACCGTAGTGCCACCACCAAAAGAACAACTTAACATTTTGTTGTGTATACTTTGAGAAGTATTGTATTTTAAATGAAAACATATTCCCTGAACATTTAATATATGCCCAGGAGTGTTTTGGGTGCTGAGAGAAAAAGGGATGAATGAGTCACGGTCCTTGTTCCCAAGGACTCACAAAGAAAACATTTAAGAAATTGATTAGTAGCTAGTTTGTTGGTAGAAAGGTTAGCTGACCTTTGATAGCTTTCTATGTTTTGAATATTTATGGTTTCAGTCCTAATTGAAAACAGTCCTATCCTACCTATGTCAAAGTATACTACAACATCATTGAATCTACTCCAAATTCATTTTAACTTACTGCCTTTTGTGTCTTGTTTGTTTGATCCTAATTATAATAAATGGATTTGATGGTATCCAAACATGTTTATCAGTTTGAAGTGTTATACTGATTCCTCTAGGGAAACATCCATTTCTCATTGTGTTTTGGATGATAGTTTCTTGAGATATACATGGATGGTATGTAGAGAAATAGATTTCATGGCCAAAAATATTTGGGAAATTCTGGGTTAAACAACCATACAAAATAAAAAAAAATTAATTTTTGATGGGTGGTCAACCTAAACATGGGAATGAAAACAATAAAGACTCTAGAAGAAAATATAGCAAAATATTTTCATGACCTTGGGGATGGCCAAATTTCTTAACAGGACATCAAAACATTGGCAAATTTGACTTCAACAACATTTAAAACATTAATTAAAAGACACATTTTAAAAAATAAATAAAGTGAAAAGACTACATGGACTGGAGGAAAATACTCACAGTTGAATCTGACAAAGAACTCATACCCAAAATATATAAAGAAATCCTACAGATTGATAATAAAAAGATAAACAATTTAAAAAGACAAAACTAAAAGAGATTTGGCAAAGGACTCAAAGGAATGCTTCACAAATATTAATAGATATATAAATGATCAATAAGTACATGAAAAGGTTCTTAACATTATCAATCATCAAGGAAATGCAAATTAAAACCATACTGAGGTACCATTTCACATCAACTAAAATAACTATAAAATAAAAAGATTTAAATACTAAGCATCAGTAAAGATGTGAACCACCTGGAAAACAGCTTGCCACTAAACAGATAGTTGCTGACAGCAATTATTCCATTCATAGGTGGACTTCTCAGCATGCACATGCATGTGTGTGTGTGTGTGTGTGTGTGTGTGTGTGTGTGTGTATAAAACATCTGATACATACACACAGAATGAAAGTATATATCCATAAAAAGACGTGTAAGAATATTCATAGCAGCATAAGTTATAGTAGGAATGAACTGCTGATTCACACAGCAGCATATACGTGAATGTCACAAATATAAACTGCTGATTCACAAAACAACAGAAACTATGCCAGGGGAAAGAAGCAAACACAAACTAGTACATACTATACATCATTTATATAAAATACAAGAACAGGGAAAACTTAGTTATGGTGATAGAAATCACTTAGAATAATGCGTACCTCCTGGGAGAGTCAGGGGGTGACTGCAAAAGAGCTCAAGGAACTTTTTGGAGTGATGAAATGTTCTGTATCTTATTTTGAGTGATGGTATTGTAAGTGTATACTTTTTGTAACTTTAATTTTGATTTAATTTCAACTTGTAGAAAAGTTCCAAGGCTATTACAAGATATTTTCGTATTTCCTTTATCCAAATCACCAACTGTTGGATGTATATATTTATTGGAAGTCATTGAACTCTATGTTTAATGTCTGTGCATTTAACTACATGCAAATTTGGCCTTATGAAAGAGGGACAAGGCTATTTTACTAAAAGTCTTCTCAGAATTTGTTAAATCTTCAAAAGAATGTTGTATACTTTACGTATTACTAGCCAGGTATTTTTGGATGTGAAACCTAACTTCCAAGGAAAACCTGCTGCACCAGCATTCTGAAGATTGCTATTCATAGGATAGCAGTTCTCAGCCCTGACTACACTGGAATCACTCAGGGAGCTTTTAAAATTCCTCAAGTCCTAGTTGCGCCCCTGACTAATTGAACTAGACTCTAATCATGGATCCCAGGCATTAGCCTATTCAAAAGATTCCAGGTGATTCCAGTGTGCAACCGTGGTTGGGAACCACTATCTTATAGGAACAGTTCCTCTCTTTAAGCATCTGTATGTATTTCCCCACTTAGATATCTCACATTTAATAAACATCACCAACAAGTCCAAGGACCTGTTATCCTCGGTTGGAGGGTATCACTGGGAGCTGAGGTCTT